GGGGGGGGCACCCACGCTGGGTGTGAAACCGGTTCAGCCTGCGCCCGTTGCTAAACCGACGTACCAAAGGGAAGTGACTTGCTCAGTGCGAGAGCAGGGAACCGAAGCCAGGTCTCCTGCGTCCCAATCCCTACCCACTAGGCCACACTTGGGGAACCAGCTGCAGATTCTGGGAGAGGCTATCTTTGTGTTTAAGGGGGAAGGATGCTCTACCGAGTAGCAGATTCGCTCCTTCCAGGAGCATGGAGGAGGCAGTATGAGCCCAGGCGGCCAGGGAATGGCTCTGAGGCCTTGTCCCCAGCTACACGTGGGTGCAGCCCAATGGGAAAGGGCAGACGCGGGCGCAACACGTGAACCCAGGCAGCTGTCCTGCCTGAGGACACTGGGCGGGCTGGAGGAAAAAGCTCCAGGGGGGGAGGTTGTCTCAGACTGCCGGGCCCCGGAAGGGGCGGAGCTTTGGGCAGAAGGGGCGGGGCTTTGGGCAGAAGGGGCGGGGCTTTGGGCTAGTCTCCCCCAGGCAGCCCCCAGCACCGCCAGACCATGCCACGCAGGGCTCCGGCAGCAATGTAAAGGGCCCTGGGTTCTGGCTGCCACCACTGCCCGGGCCCTGTTGGATCACTGAACCCCGTAGGCAGTTGACACAGCGGGGGTCCCGGAGTGTCTGAGAAGGGGAGACTGCACCCCCATCCCTGTGCCAGTGCAGGGGTGATTCTGGCCCCGGAGGGTCTCAGAGCCAGACCATGCCACGCAGGGCTCCGGCAGCAATGTAAAGGGCCCTGGGTTCTGGCTGCCACCACTGCCCGGGCCCTGTTGGATCACTGAACCCCGTAGGCAGTTGACACAGCGGGGGTCCCGGAGTGTCTGAGAAGGGGAGACTGCACCCCCATCCCTGTGCCAGTGCAGGGGTGATTCTGGCCCCGGAGGGTCTCAGATCTGCAATGGGGTAAATTGCGTCCTGCGTCAGGCACCTAACGAGGGGCGAGTGCCCGGCGGGGGGAAGGGGAGGGGTTCAGTGCCAGGCAGGGCAGGGGAGACACAGCTGAGAGGATCATGAGCTTGTTGTTAACAAGGGAAGGAGCCCCCAAATACAGGGGAGTTGTAGGTGTCCCCCAGCCGAGGTTGGGGGTGGAGAATTCAGCTCTCAGGTGGGGGGGGGCGGAAAAATGGGTTTTACCTTCAGTGACCAGGTTGGGGTCACTCGAATGCTTGCAGGTGATGATCTTCTCCACCAGCTGGTTGTAGCTCAGCTTGCCCACGGCCTGGGCCACGTCCGGGCTCTGGAGCCAAAAAGAAGATTGGGGGAAGGAGACGCCCCAAGGAGCCCAGGGAGAAGCCAGAAGGGGAAGTAGAGGCCCGAGCGGTCACTACGCTGCAGCCCCTTTGGTGCCAGCAAGGCTGGTGCAGAGGGCGTTCAATGCCAGGGCAACGTGGCCTGGTGTCCCATTAGGGGATGCTTCCTTCAAGCACAGCCAACCCTGCCTCGGCCCTGGCTCAGTGCTCTGCTCTGGCAAAGCCCCACAAGACCCAGCGGAGGGGCGTGTGGGGGAGGGGAGAGATGCAGAGGTGCCACTGAGGCTACATGGGTGCCCGCTGCCCCTGCATCGAGGTGGCGCAGGCTGCCTGCCCTCTCTGCAGTCACCAGCCATGGGCGAACCTGCCCTGGTGTCTCCATGGGCCTTTTGGCTGCCCCTCTGGTTTTATGTTGCGAACGAGAGACGAGAGTGGGGCCCTTCGTCATTCCCAGGTCTGGGTCAGCCGAGCCACCGGAGGCTGCCCCACCCTTCTGCCGGGGTCCAGCACAGCCACGCTGGCCCGCGCTGTCCTTGGCTCTCTGCTGGGGCGCCAACAACGCAGAGATTACAGAGGTAGCTGATCTGGGGTGCAATCCCGACACATCTGCTCTGAAATAGGACCGGAGCCTTGCTCCACCGGACAGGACTGCAGCTCTCGGGTCTCCCAAGAGCAGTGTTTCTTAAACTCTGTTCTGCGGCACACCGGTATGCTGCAAGGCAGTCGGAGGTGTGCCGCGGAAAACAACAGAATTCAAAATGGCCACCCTTAAAGGGTCAGGCTCCTTTTTTTTTTTCTTGCTCAATAACTCCCCGCCCCCTAACCCCCCCTTTTTTTTTTCCACTCAACAAAAAATCCTTGGTGTTCTTCATAAAAAAAAAACTATTGTTTGGTGTTCCTTGGTCTTAAAAAGTTTACGAAACACTCCCCAAGAGGGTCAAGGAGCAGTGAACATAGGAGAGCGCTCAGCACAACCAGCCCAGCTGGATTGGAACTAGCAACCACGGGGGAAAGAAATCCTGGCTCTGCTCAGAGCCAGAGGAGTTTTGCCGTTGGTTTAGTGGGGCCAGGATTTCAACCGCCAAACCTCTGACCTACCCGCTTGCCCTTGTGTTTCCTTATCAACCCAGTCCCTGGCCCTCAGTCTGCAAGAGGGAATAGTCTCTGCTATTCTCCTACCTCCCGCTAACTACGCGCAGGGCTCAACATCCTTCTGTCATTGGGGCCAAAGCCGCTGCCAGCTTGGCAGGACCTCGCAGCGCTGAAGAGACAGAGCGCTATTTCCCGCCTGGTTGGACCGGCCCCTCTGTTCTGGGAACGGGTGCCATTTCGCTGCATGGAGCGCCAGCCCCAGCGTGAGCTCCACACCTTTCCCTCTTCCCCTAGACCAGTGCTTCCCAAACTTTTCGGCATCACGCCCCCTTTTTGATTTTTGAGAAACCCAAAAGTCCCCCCACCCCCTACTAAACAATGTAGATAGCATAGAGAGCTGCCCTGCCCCAAAGAGCTCTTAAATCCAATATACAAAAGGGGGAAGAGAGAGTCAGTCCCTGACCAGGCAGGTCAGTAAAAAAAGCAGCAAAACTTGGGGGGGGGCTAGGTTGGGAGGGAGATTGATGGGGGGAGGTTGGGTCACCTTGCACGCCCCTGGAACCCATGCTCTAGTTGACTATTTCTTCCCCCTTTTCTCTTTTTCTTTTTTCCCTTCTTTTTCCTTCTCCTTTCCATTCCCTATTTATTTAGAAACTGGACCTTTAATAAATCCATTTATCAGAAGGAGTGGATTGTGCCCACAGAAGCTCATGATACCATCTACATGTTTTGTTAGTCTCTAAGGTGCTGCAAGACTGTTTGTTATTTTCCAGTTATAGACTAACTTGGCTACCCCTCTGAAGCTTTTGAAAATTTAAATTATTAGCCAGAAGTTTAATTTGAGAAAAAATAAATTTAAAATGTTGAAGAATAAAAGAGCACACCTCCAACTTACAGAGGCTTTCCTGCCAGGTGCTGAGTTCAGCCTTGTCAATTCCTAAAACACCCCTCAGGTGTCACGGCTGCCTTGGTGCCCGCTCCTGTCAGAACCGTAATGCCATCTAGTGCCTGCCTGCTGCTCTTCCACCAGCAGATCTCAAAGCACTTGGCAATGGGGAAACTGAGGCACGGGGCGGGGAAACAACTTGTTCAAGCTCACCCCGCAGTGGAAGAGCTGAGGCTGGAACTCAGTTCCATGAGTGGCAGTCGAGTGTGCTAGATCCGCTGCCTCCCCCTTCCCTTCTCCAGCCCTTCCCCCACCCCACTGGCTCTGGCTTCTATCCATGCCCCACGCAGGATGGAATTGACGGACGCATCGCTCACCTGGGGATCCACCAGCCAGCCATGGTACAGCGGGATGTTCAGGAGGTCAAAGATAATGCACTCTGGGGTGTACTCAAAGTCGGAGACTCCCGTGAACCTCACGTTCACGTCGAGGCCCGTGGACATCTTGGGCAGGACCATCATGGCATCGTTGACGTTCTGCAGCGGGGGAGAGAGAGGACAGCACTGTGTACCGACTGGAGACAGAGGTGCCGGGGCAAGGCAGGGCCTGGGCAGTCGGGGAGTTGCCATTTGCAATTGGGGTTGCATTTCCTCCTGACTTAGGCAGGCTCTTGGGGCTAAAATCTTGGCCTGACATCCAGGATTAGGCTGAGCTGGGATTCCTGCTACCCCTGCCCTGATGGTCTCTGTTATCCTGCTGTCACGTCATTTGTTAGCGCTCCACAGCCGCACAACGGGGCTGGGTTTCCAAGCAGCGTCGCCTGAGACTCGGGGCTCTCTTCACCAAAGCGGCGACCTCGAAGCACAGGGACTGTCTCTCGCGAGGCACGTGCAGCGCCCGGCCCAGCGGGGCCCCGATCCTGAACTGGGCCCTACTGTAACACACATGCCTCCTCGCAGGGCAGCTGCGAGATGCTCTCAGGACTTGGCTAGACAGCGAAACGGACCAGAACAGCTCCCTGCAGGGACACCCTGCTCCAGAACACGACCCTCTCTGCTCCAGAACGATCCATGTGCTTCCGAAGTGCGAAACGGACCAGAACAGCTCCCTGCAGGGACACCCTGCTCCAGAACACAACCGTCTCCGCTCCAGAACGATCCACGTGCTTCCGAAGTGGAGTCTCTACTCTGGAAGGAAGTCACTTTGCCCCCCACCCCTCCCTGCCAGGGGCACACAGTGCCTTGAGGGAATAGCCGGTGGTTCTCTCTAGGCCAGGGGTGGGCAAAGGGGCCCCAGCTTGCCCACCAAGCAGGTGGATCCGGCCCACGGAGGCCCTGCTGCTCCCCTGCCCCCAGGCTAATTAAGGCCTGGGGGCGATGGAGCACCGGAAGCCTCCTCCCACCCTGCCAGGAGCATGTGGCGCTTTGAAGCGCCGTGCACTGCTCACAGGGCAGGGAGAGAGCGGAGGAGGCTTCATGTGCTCCCCCACCCCCAGGCTAATCAGGGCGTGGGGGCTGGGGAGCTTCATGAAGCTTCCTTCCCCCTGCCCCGGCCCTGCGGAGGAGGCTTCCCGTGCTCCCCTGCCCCCAGGCCCTGATTGGCCTGGGAGTGGAGAAGCGTGCCAAGCCTCTTCTAGGTGCCTAGTGGGAAAGGTGGGCAAAGGGGCTCCCCCACCCCCAGTCCATGATTGGTCTGGGGGTGGGCAGCCCCGCCCCTTCCTGTTTAGGCACCGCCCCTTCCAAGGTGGCCCCGGGCTACTTCAAACATTTTTGAAGTGGCCTCCGGGCAAAAATGATTGCCTACTGGGTGCTGCACACCCCTAGTGCGGGGGGGCAGGAGACTTTGTGGGCTCCTGCCGCCAGGTCTCGATTGGATCTTGCCCGCCCCGTTGTTACTGCATGTGCTTTGATCCCGGCTCTTCTTTGCCTCCGCTGTAAAGTAAAACAATCCCCCCCTTGCCAGTCCTCCCTCCACTGGAGTGTCCTTGCAGGCCTCCGTTCATCCACACTGCCCTTCCCCGCACCTCGTGCTTGTTCTGCACGGAGGGGGTGGGGTGACCCGTGCCACACACAAAAACCCAGAGGCAGCACCGTTCACTGAAATCAAGAGAGGTTCGTGTGGGCCAGAAGACCTGGGTCTGAAAGGGGCCTTCTCGATCAAATAGGCCAGAGATCCTGCGAGCACGGACAACCCTTCTGCAGCAGCTCATGCAGAAACCCATCAAACTCCACCTTCAAACGAATGAGGCTCTTCTCCTCTCTGCTGATACTCCTAACGGAGGTCGGTCCAGCACCTCTCTCCTCCGACGGATAGAAACCTGCTTTTAATTTCTAGCCTCAACTCACTCCGGAGCCAGTTTAATCCCCATGTGTTCTTGGGCCAACTCGGTCCTTAAGCTTGAGCGGTTCCTCTCCCATCCCAGTGGAAAGTGCTGCAGAGGATGAAGTGTGGACACAGGGCAAAGGAAAACAGAACGGAGCAGATGCTACTCTGAAGTGACACTCGGTTGCCTGCTCAGTAAACTATTGTGCGACTTATCGAAGAGTTTAGGCACCTTCGTCGGCGACAAACTGGAACCTGGAGTTTTGCAACCCACATGGGAAGTGTTACCCGGTTCATTTTTATTTTATGCAGACACACTAGGGCGGCCGTGGCCAACCTGCGGCTCTGCCCCCCACTAAAGTTCGGGTAGCGAAGCCGCCCCTGCGCTCCTAGAAACATCTCCCGGCTCCTGGTTCCCTGTGCTCGCCAGGTGCCAGGGAGCTGTCTGGTGAAATAAAATGGCTCAGCCAACGGGAGCCTGATGTGGCCAAAAAGCCAACCTGAAGTACCTGAAGTGGTTGTGTTTTTTTGTTTAAAGGGACAGGGTTGTGGGTTTTTTTCCCCCCTCGACAACTTTTCCTTCCCGGCTCTTTGTGCTATATGCACAACTATTTTGGCTCTTTGCCTAGAACGAGTTAGCCACCCCTGCGCAAGGGGGTTTGGTTTGCTTTAAACAGATGGGGAAACCGAGTCACGTGAGCTGCACGGTGCCTCCCATGAGGCCATCGAGCGGGCCGATGAGAGAACAAGTCCCTGTCCGGCGCTCTGGGGGTGAGGCCTCTCTTGCTACCAACATAGCTCCCAGATTCGCAGACTGCTTTTGCAGCACACTAGCTCTCCTCCCTCGCAGTGCAGCTGACAGGGCGGGCATTTTTAAACAGGGATCAGTTTGGTCCCCTGCTGACCCAGGCCTGCTTCGACACTCCACAGACGGGGTGGGGGAGGGGGTGGATCCAGTTGGTCTCACCTGCTGGAAGTTGAGCTGCAGCCCTTCTGACTGCTCTTGGGGCTTGATGGATAAGATGCAGTCTCCTTTGAAAGAAGAAAACACCCAGTTGCTCTTCCTGATCAATGATACTTAGCCTCCCAACATGTGAGCACCTCACAGTCTGATATTTTTATCCTCCCAATCCGCCTGTGAGCCAGGACAGGGCTATTATCCCCATTGTGCAGGTAGGGAAACTGAGGCACAGGGCGGCTAAGTGACTTGACCAAGGCCACAACAGAAATCTGTGGCAGAGCCAGGGACTGGACATGGGTTTCCTAACACCTTCACCACTGGAGTATCCTTTCTGCCTTCAGGAACAAGGCCAGGGCTTGGCCTGTCCTCAGGGGAAGGCTGGATCTGGATTACAGTGAAGATGGCGAGGCGACAACTCCTGCGCAGGCTCACAAAGCCCCTACACCATGACGTGGATTGGATCCAGGAAAGAAGACTGGGATGGAGGATGGAGCAGAGAAGCACTAAACCGCCCAATTCCCACTTGTGGTTGGGGAACGGGCAGGAGATTGCATTAAGGGTCCCATCCGGCCTTCTTCTTTGTGCCCCTACAAGTCACAGAGAAGCAGCTGGGAATTTTAAACGCCCCCCCAGGATAGTTCTGGGCAGCCCAGGGCCTCGAGGCGCTCTCCCGAGTTCGCCACTCACCAAGGTGCGCCATCAACTCGTCTGACGTGATCACTTCCTTCTGCGGGGACAGCTTCACCTGCAGGAGGTAGGGAAGTTAGCAACGTTGGCGACGGACCCGGCCTGTTTGGATCCTCGAGGCTTCCCCCAAATCGGGACACGGGGATAATCACTAACATCCCGATGCACATCTGCCAAGCCCCTCTTCAGCCATATTGAGGTCAGACACTTGGGCCCCCTAGTCTGTCTCCTGCCATCCTGGTCTACACCATTGGCCTTCTTAACCCTTTACCCCACCTAGGGAAACCCACATCCCCGCCAGCTAAGCCTGATGGTTTAGAGCCGGGGTGAGGAACCTTTTTTGGGTTACGGGCCACTGACCCACAGAAAAAAATCACACGGCAGCTGCTCACGAGCGAGAAGAAAACAAACCCGCACTGACATGGCCCTCGACTGAGAAGGAGAAACCTTCCCCACATTCCCTTCCCACACCAGAGCCTAAGGGGGCCCAGGCTAGTAGACTGTGTGCTCTAGCCCCACAGTGGGGCAGTGGTGGGGCTGGAGCACCAGAGCGGGCTCCCCAATGCTGATTCTAAGGGGCTGGATCCTCCCTCCCCCCGGTTTAGAGGATGGTGATATTGATAAAACAACCACACGATCTTACGGTGGCACTTGTTGGACTGTTCACCCATCAGTTACTAAACATTGTACCACACTGCATCAGCCTCGTTATTCCCACTGTACAGATGGGGACACCGAGGCAGGCAGCAGGGAAGTGGCTTGCCCAAGATCATGCAGCAAATCAGCAGCAAGGTTGGGAACAGAATCCAGTCTCCTGAGTCTCAGGCCTTAATCCACCGGGCCATACAACCTAGCAACATGGCACAGAGAAAGCAAAATTCTTCCTGGCCCCTGCAGTAGCCAGCAGGTGCCCTGAAGCATGAGACTTGACCACATGTATTTTTACTGCAACATCAGACACGTCACAAGATCTCATGGCCAGCTCCCAAGCCCCCAGAAGCCAATGGGAATCTTTCCACTCACTTCAGGGCGCTGGGGTCTGGCCCCACCCCGAGATGAGAAGACCCCCCCAACAATGGAGGCGTTTAAATAGCAAACACTTCAGCTACTACAACGCTTTGCTGAGCAGTTCTGTGGCAACAGCATGTGATGAGCATGGAACAGGACAAGAGTTTCCCAGCATGCACTGCCAGGGGCCATGTCCCCGTCCCTGAGTTTGCCAAAGGGAGTGGCCGATAGAAGATAGCTAGTGCCACCCACAAAGTCCCCACTGGGGCAGGTTTCCTCAGTGTCTTGGATACTTACTCAGGCCCCCTCACCATCATATCTGAGCACATTAGAGTCTCATGCACCCTTGCAGGGGAGGGCCACCCCATTTTTCAACTGGGGAAACTGAGGCACATAGAGACTAAGCGACTGACCCAGGGACTCACAGAATCTGTAGCAGAGCAGGGATGTGAACCTGAGCCCTAACCATCTGGCCATGTCGACTCTCAGTACAAGGAGGCATCTCCGTGCCACTAGAGAAGGGCCTCTCACATGAACTACACTACAAGATGGACCCAGATCTTAGGCCAGTCCAGGGGAGTCCGGGCTGTACTGCCCGCCCAGTGGCTTCTCCCTGGAGCCGGCGTGGGGGGCAGTCCGGTCCGACAGCAGCTCCCTGGAGCAGGCCGGAGTGGCAGAGGGCTGTGCTGCGGGCCAGCGACAGCTCCCCAGGGCTGGGGCGCTTGCTGCCCCCTAGTGGTCATTCGTGAGTGTAACTGTCCCTGCTCTCTCACCCTGCCCTTTCCATTTGATGGAGAACAATCCCATTCCAGGCACATCCCATTTCCCTGGCACAACCAAACCTCGGCCTGGCTTTAGGTTAGAAGAGGAAGCTGCCGGCCAGATTTGGTGGCCGCTGCTCATACCGTGTAGGAGGAAAGCTGGTGAACAAATGGACTCACAGAAACGGAGGGACACACAGACACACACCCCCACACTCTAAAATAGGACTCTCGTCCTTGCCACCCCCCTCTTCACCCCCCCCCGCCCCCCCGTCCTG